TAGGCCCCGTGTGATAACGTCTTTATAAAAATCAAACTGCCTTATACCAAGTCAGGGCAGTTGTCCTTCTACTCTAGCTGTATCCCAGGTTTCCAAGGTCTCTTAGGCAGAGGTCTCTCCCCTGTAATAAGATTCCTTTAAAACACATGCAGATATTATGAATTCCTGTATACAAAGACTGAGGCTGCATCCGCATTATAGAAATTATCCAGTTTGACACCACTTTAACTGTCATGGCTTAATGCTATAGAATTCTGGGAACTGTAGTTTGTTGTGGCACCAGAGCTCTCTGGCAGAGAAGGCTAAATGTATCACAAAACCTCAATTCCTAGAATTCCATATCATTGTATCATAGCAGTTAAAGTGATTTCAAACTGGATTATTTCTACAGTGTGGATGTAGCCTAAGTTCCTCCTCTTTGAAAGTTTAAAGTAGATAGCTTCCAGTGCAAGCCTGTATATGTCCATTTGAATTCATTGGGATTTGCTCTCAGAAACATGTGTAGAAAATTATAAATGTATACTTGGTTAGGTTCTAAGTGGTTGGAATCCAGACAAATCTAACCAGGATGACATCTTGTGGATTGCAATGGGAAAGAGACTCACTTAGCTTTCTCTATATCATACTTAAAGTGTATAATCTATGTAGCAGAACCATATTATGTGGCTCTAGTGTCCTATTTCTAATTCTACCACTGACACACAGATAAAGTTTGGGATACTTAATCTTTCCTCTATTGAAAGTTCTCTTTGAGAAAAAAAAATCTTCTCATCATTTGTATTTTACAAGGCATGGGAATATTTTCCTAAGTATTACAAGTCTGAAGTAGGGGGGAGAAACCCTGTTGCCCAATGTCATCAAATCTAATCTAATCAAAGATAGGTGCTTCATGCATTACAAATTTCCAGTATGGCACTGACTAGGGAGCTTATTGCACAGCCGAAAACACTGGCTTACCTTTGCCGGCTTCAATCTTCTTCCAGGATACACCTAGACATTATCACACATAAGTCACTGCCAATTTTGCTGCGATGTTGACAAACAAATTCAACCTGGGTCAGACGCAGGCCAAAGCCATGTTTAGCCACCAAATTTTCAAAAATGGAATCTTATGACTTCAAAAATTTGGCAGCTGAACACAGCTTTGGCCTGCATCTGACATAGGCTGAATTTTGTCGGTGGCATTGTGGCAAAATCGGCAGCTACTTACATGCGATAATGTCTGGGTGTATCCCAGAAGAAGATTGAAGCCAGCAAAGGTAAGTCAATGTTTCTTAGCTGTGCAATAAACTCCTAGCTTTCAGTAAGCTTGGTTGTGAACTGTTGAACTTAAAGGAAAATATCTATTGCATACTTTATGAGTCAGCTCCTCATTTTATCTTAGAATTCAAACCTGGATGGCAGAAATCTAAAACTGGCTTCTAAGGAATCAATGGATTATAGAAGAAGAATATGACAAAGAAATTAAAAATCTAGACTCCATTTTAAGAAGACTTATTTTGTATCTTGTATAACAGAATGTGTACATCCTGCAGTGCTACAGAGGAATTGTTCTGCATAAAAGTTAGATTTGTTGCTGAAATCCTGTTGTAGAAGTACGATGACATAAATCAGCTAGCATGGCATAGTGGTTTGAGTGTTGGCCTATGACTCTGGAGACCAGGGTTTCAATCCCCACTCAACCATGGGAACCCATTTGGTGACTTTATGCTAGTCATACTCTTTTAGTTTCAGAGGAAGGTAAAGGCAAATCTTGTTCTGAAAAATTGTGACCAAAATAAAAGAAAAACCTGTTTTAGGTTAGTTTTGGGGTACCATAACTTGGAAATGAGTAGAAGGTACACAACAACAAACAACAAAGTTAGAATTATTCTACCTCAATTCATCTGGGGGCCATTGTATCATTGGCATTCTTTACTAAGTGGTACAGCAATCAAATTCTGTATCCTAGAATCCCTCTTTTAAATGAATTATCTCCCTATGTTATTGGGA